CAATCGATCAATTTTCACCGCAAGTGTATTTGCAAACTCTTCAAACCCATCAATAATAATAATAAACACAAATATTTCTGATTACTTTACATGTTACATCTTTCCACTTTATAGAATTTTACACCATCACTAAGCCTATTTAAATTTTGCATACGAAAACGATTTGTTTCTATTGCCATATGCTGTAGCAAGTCATATCTCCTTTAAATAATTATACTATATCTACTACACCAGAAGTATTATTAGGAGTTACAGAAACACCACTATTTCCAACAATGGACTTAATAACTGGAGTACCAGCACTTTCCATTGACAACCAACTTGAGCACTCATCTTCACTCCTTCTGAATCACTTGAAATTGGCAAAACTCTAACCTGTTTAATACGAAACAAGTCATCACTATCACTATAACATGATAAATTTAAAAAAAAGCAAAAATAGGATAAAATGTTAAAGCCTTCGATTACAAAAGACTTCTCTCTCAAATGCTTATATATCTGGAGCTTTAATGATTTTTAATTAATAATTTAGTTAATCATTTAATGGTTTCAAATGGGTAATGCTTTCAAATAAAAGAAATTGGATAATAAAATACTAGAACTATGACATCAAAATTAATTTTCAAATTGCCTGTAAAGCAAGTACAATTGAAAAACAATTACTAAAAACTCGACATACAATAGTCATTTAACAAATTAGTTGTATTACTAGCCGGATTTTGCATTTAACAGATACATAAATTAGAAAGAGTAACACCATTCTGAAATTATGTATAAAGTAGCTATACCACTTATAATCATTTTATGTACAATTTTGAGTTTTACGTTGAAGAATATGAAAAATATAATAAATTTTAGAAATAATAAATTATTAAAAGCTTTTAAAAACCTATGATGTTTTGAAAATGTTTTTTTTTTTAATAACAAATTCTATTTTTTACCGAAAAAAACGGACGTAAAACATATTGTCATTTATAAAATACCATACATTTATGTAATATATACCTATTTACGCAATGAAAATATTATTGAAAAATTAATTATAATTTATATAAATAGTTATCGTATATAAAATTAGTCTTGCAACTTAACTAATACATTTGGTGAACAATCCGAAAATCTGGTACTAATACTCGCTCCGCACAACGTGTGTTAACATGCATTGAATTTTTATATTTCTACAAAATTAATAGATACTAAGAAATATGTGCAAATTGTAATTATTCATTAACGGCAATATAGTTGATAATATAATGCATAATAGAAATCACAAGTGTATACAAATATTGCATAATAGAAATCAAACGTATGTATGCACATCAACACATAATATAGATTCGTCGGTGTTCAAAGTCTATTTACAATCATAATAGTTTAATATTGCTAATGTTCGATTATATAAAAAACAGAAAATTGTGATAACCAATTCATTTATCTTGAATATTTGGAAAAAAATAAAATAAAATGCTATAATATTGCAAATCCAACCAATAATAAAAAAATGAAGAAAAATGTCTTAAAACTGCATAACGTTTTGTTTGGTAGTCTGTAATAACATTAAACAATTATTATGGAATAATTAACATATCTGAAAAATTATAATGAAAAAACTAATAATTAATAGTGATGATTGTTAAATGCAGTTAAATGTTATACAGAAAACATAAAAAAATCTTCGTATTGTAAGAAAACATTTCATTGTATCTTTTACCATTTGATCTCGTGTAAGATATGAATTATTTACTGTTGTTAATATTCCACGTTTATTTAAAACAAACGAATGGCAATATTTTCGAACACTTTTTGAGTTAACGATGGCGTAATAAATTGTAGTACGCCTTTGTACTGGATTTACTTTAATTATAATTAATAAATTGTAAACTTAAATCTTAACTTCCTTAAGAAAATAAATCAATTGTTAAGGTAATAAAATAGTAGAACTTGATTTGATAATAGAAATAGCTTCCTAGCTGAAACCATTGTTAGGTATGCTAGACATGTGGAAAATACATACAAACGCAATTTATAAAATTTGTTTCAAAGAATTTGGTAAAAAATATAAATATTTATTCTAAATTATAATTTAAACACAAGCAAAAAATAAAATGCTTAGCTTACCATTTTAATTAATTTCTACCGGATTTAAGAAAAATAATTTCAGATTGCACTAGTTTCGTCAATAAAACCTGCCAAAATGAATACGATGGAATTGAATGGATTTTATTGAATTATGCAATTTTAATGTTTACCATTCGAGCTGGAAGTTAATTTCGGCGGCAGTTGCATTTGAGCGACATCGACTGCTAAATCGCATGAACGAAACTCTGCTAGCAGTTAACGCGTTGCGTCAGAGATGACGCCGTCATTCAGCCCGGGGCCGTACTCGGGGCATACAAATAAATAATGACGATTATATAGTAGAAATAATTATAGTATATAGAATAAAATTTTACTAAACTAGTGGTGCATGGTATCGTGCCTTGAGAAAATTGCTGGTGCTTCCCGTAGCAATTTTTAATATTTTTAAAAGTTTTAAAATTCTTTGAAAATTTTGGAAAAAATAAAAAAATGTTTAGGAATCGAAAATTTGTAAATATTTTGTATTTTTTAAAAGCTATCGCGCATGTAGCTGTTTTCATGACAATAAGTAAAGAAATGCCAAAGCGCGTAAGCGCCGCGTTGCAGTCTAACGATTAAACATTTTAAATCTCGGTACGGAACCCATAAAAGTGTAGACTTATTATTAAAATTTCTATAAAATATCTGATAATTTTATGTTCATATGTCTAATGATGTTTGACCGCCAAATGGCGTTTTTTATTAACTTTTTTTTGTTGAATCTCCAAAACCTCTGGACCCGCCTTCCTAAAAATTCTATCAATTCTCATTCCGTCAATACAAGTATAATGTTATCTAAATTATTCAAATCGAACTCTCCGTTCTCACAAAAACTTTATTGCAATTGTTTGCACTTTCTGTACCGTGTCTTCAAAACAGCTAGACCTGCTTTTGCTAAAACCTATTCATCACGTCTCCCTATCAGTAGAAATAGAATGTTTTTTGAATATTTCAAATCGGTTGTTCTTTGCGTCCGAAATCGTGTACAAAAAATATCCATACAAAACACACACATCCATTTTTTCTAAGATATGCCAAAATGTTCAGAAACAGCTGAAACGTGAAGATATGCAAAAATATTTCATTTTCGATTTTTGGACGATTACCACAACCCTACGGGAAGTTAAAAATTATATAATATTATCTTTATAAAATATATAATAGTATATTAAATTAACATGCAAGAATGAAATACGTAAAGTAGCATACTGATGTACTACAAAATAAATGTGCCTTATATGATTTATAAAAATAAATCTATTAAATCGTAAATTGTAAATGGAATAAAAATACTAAAATTGATATTGATGATAATAATGACGATCATGATAATAAAAATTATAAATTAATAAAATTAAAATTAGAAGTAAATTGTAATGTGCCCAAGACATAGGCATATGTCTAACTTATGGTTGTAGGGTATATGATTAAAATTTACTTCATATATGTTTTTTAATATTCATTATTATATTTATGAAAAAAACTATATTTATTTTAGATAATTTCAATATCTCCAAATCATGTAATTGCATACGGATTTAATTTAATATCATTTCATATGCAACGAAAAAATTATAAGTAATAAAATCATTTTATAACTCCATATTATTTTGGTTAACCACAGATATACAGGATTGAATATCAAACTAATACCGTCCAATGAAGAAACTAAAAAATTATTTATTAGTTATTGAATGAGAAATACAATATTTTCAATTGAAGTATTTTTTTTACATAAAAATATAGATGAAAATAGGTTTTGCATTAAAAATGAGCCATTCGGGAACTGCAGTGAAAAATGGAAAAGGAAAATCTTTGGATTTTATTTGGAATTCACGAAACTGTTCTTGTACAGAACTCCTCTCTATCATATATTAGATTAAACTATATATATATATATATGAATTAACAAAAAATTTAACTATCTAGTATTGAATAGTAAGCTCGCAATGGGTTCTGCAATAATTTTTAAATTTACTATGAATAATTTTTGCAAGACGAAATCCAATTGTTCTGAATAATACCAAAATATATTAGAAAGTTTTCACGATTTATCGTGCAATTTATCTAATGGATCCCAATTTCTATTTATTTGCATGACGCTTTATCGTACATGTATACATCGCCCAAAGGCGATATGTAATTATACATATATGTATATTTATATGTATGTATGTATAAATATATATACGTGTGTATGTGTGTGCTTGTATGTATATAATTTATACTTATTAAATATATGCAATTATATTTTGTATTAATTATTTCTGTGATTTTATAAAAAAGAAACAAAATTATTATTTATGATATGATAATTATAATGATTTGCGAAATTGATTAAATGCTCTCATTATAATTTGTAAACTAACTTTTGTACATTATAGTTTAATACTATATGCCTTAAATATGACCCTGTAATTGTATTTTGAAAGTATACTGAAAAAAGTAATTGTAGAGCGTCTGAAAAATTTTTGTCCAGCTGATTGCAGGAATAATTATACTACTGAAAAGATGAAGATCACTAGTAATTAATTATGCTCAAAATTAATTATTTAAGAGTTTATTACATACATGAATATTTATATTTTGAACTATACAACAATTTTAATAGTGGCATATGTTATAACTAATACAAACATAACCATTTACTCTATATATACAAAAAAGAAAATAAAACTATTATACAAAAAATAAATATTTAGCTAATATAAATAATATATTTAACCTATTTTATAATATATAGTTATTTCAATAATATCAGTCTCAATTAAAAGTATAAATCTTTGGTAAACATAAGATATTTTAATTACGTATTTAAGGAACCCGTCCTGGCGTTTAGAAAAAACTTTAACGTATTTAGTCTTTAACGTACGCCCTGGCAATTATATCTATAGTCGGAAACATTAAACAGTACCCTAAAGACTTGCTAAATTGTTTTGGCTTCGTTAATACTTTGATATTAAAATATTGAGCGTTTTATTATCTATCGCTTCATAATGTCTTCTATGGAAAATCCTAACGTTTTCTTTGGCAGGCCGGTTTGGACACGGGGCGGGCTTAATGACCTATTTTGGCAAACTGCTTGAACGTTTTGATGGGAAACTTCTGCTTGTGGTTGTTCGTGCTGGTATTGGCTGTGATAACTGACATCATTTTCCTTTTGGGAGATAAATCCAGGGCAGGATTTGTGGAGTTTGGTAGCGAAGAGGTGCTTGATGTCGATGATCCTGCGGGGTGGCTAGCTTCAGGTTCGGTATGGGTCAATAAATGTGTTTTAAGATTCGACCTCTGGTTAAAACTTCTGCTACAGACGGGGCATTTATGAGGAGATTCTTCCATGTGCAAAATTTTGTGTACAGCTAGAGTTCGAGACTGGCAGAAACCTTTGCCGCATTCGGTACACTTGAAAGGTTTTTCTTTGGAGTGAATATACCTAGAAATAAAAAGGTGACATTAGTTTTTATTCATTGCAACAACAGACAGCAATTAGGTTGTAAAGCGAGTAAATGTAGAATTTTGCAATTTGTTGTGGATATTCAAAATATACTTTATAGCCCTTAGTAAAAATTTTATTTGTTTTCCTTCTAAATTATATTTGTAGAAAAGAAAAAAGGATAGAAAACTAATATGACTTGAAAAATTACAATTGAGGTATACAAAGTATAGAAGTTTAATTATAATTGTAAAAGTATAATTACCTATGGTCTCTGAGATGATCTTGTCTGCGAAATGCTTTTCCACAAATATCACAAGAGTAGGGTCTCTCATCCGTATG